CGAACAACCTAATGGTTCGCGTGTCCCGGACGAGCCGACCTTTTTACTAAAATATACTTTCAATAGAAAAATATACTTTAAATTTGGAGATAAATGTACTTTCAAATTTCAAATTTCAAAGAGAAATCTACCTTTAAACCCAGATTTATCACGGTCTCTTTAATTATTGGGTTGGGGACTATGACTCGGCGCCAAAAATCAAAAAAACTTCTAAAACTTCTATTCGACTTCGTCAAATAATACGCGCTTAATATCAGTAGAAAAGTTAACTAATTCTCTACAAAATGACATTTAAAAGAAAACTCAAACAGCGCCTCAGCTCAAGAAAAGGCCATTTTTTCACAAAAACTACAAACTGTCATCTAGAAAAGGCGGTTGGAGGGCTCTTCCTGCAAATTCGGCAACTTATGTAATTGAATATACTCTATCTTTTTTACATATACACCAAAGAGGGTTTATGTGCAAGAAACTGTTCAAACGATGAGTCAGACTCTTTGCCATTTTGATCAGCTGCGTTTGGATGTTCATAAACTCGACGAAAGAAAAGCTTTGTGGAATCTCTCAAAAGTCATTTTGTAGAGAAATAGTGGATCCTTTTGATGAAAGAAAACGTATATTTAAAGAAGGCTTTATGCGTGCAAAAAGTGTCTTTAAAGTTTGGCGCCGAGTCATAGTCCCCAACCCAATAAATGCAACTTTTCAAACATTTTTTTTTTTCACAGTGTCTCACCTTTGCCACGATGGTGACGATCACGCTTTTCTCGGTTGACGGGAATTTGTATTTTATCGTGTATCCGGATGTAAGTTGAATAAAAAAGAAAATAGAAAAATGTGAATGTTCAGCGTTACGGTTGGCAAATCCTATACGCTCCAATGTTGTTTGTGGTTTTCGTTTGGTCGACAATTCTTTTTGTCGGCGTCATCATGGGAAATGAGATGGCGGGAAGAATTGGGAAATTAAAGGTTGCAAAAATTTAAACGGCTTTAACGGTCAACTTTGTTTTCTAGAGAATTCGAGCTTTAAAATTATACAATAGTGCATTTAACCGCGAGCGACAACTTTCTAAAAAACTAGCTGGGAAATCTGTAATCTATTTTAAAAGTGGCAAGTGTTATATAGAGAATTGTAGCCCTTAATCTTGGCTACATTTCCCTATCAAAAACTTCCCGATTCGATTTATACAACTCATTTAACAAGCGATTGAATGAGCGCTAGTGTCTCCAGCGACTCTGTCATTTTAGCGCTCATTCAATCGCTTGTTAAATGAGTTGTATAAATCGAATCGGGAAGTTTTTGATAGGGAAATGTAGCCAAGATTAAGGGCTACAATTTTCTATATAACACTTGCCACTTTTGAAATAGATTACAGATTTTCCAGCTAGTTTTTCAAAAAGTTGTCGCTATAGCTGCTGTAGCTTGGATCATTCAGTCTAATGAAAATCAAAGCCAACTTTTCAGCAAACTAGCTAATCAATTAAAGTTCCAAATAATACAAACATACAGACAAACAATCATTTTTTTATTTCAGTGTCTAATCGGGAACGGTATCGCAATCGCATTGTTAATTGTGACCGGTGTTCTGCTCGTGAATTACTCATCGAAAGCCTCCGGATGGAGTGATGGAAGGTTTAAGACTCGCTTCATTTTTGGCTGTGTAAGTCTTTCTTCGAAAATCTTCTTTTTTTTGCAAACACACCCGTTTTGGTACACTGTTTTTCTCGCCAAGGCTTTAGAAGTGGGGAAAGCAATGAATTCAGTTCATCCAAAAAGGATTTTGCGAGCGCAAAGTAAAATATCGACTGGGAACCAAATGGGAACCAAATGAGAACCGAATTGGAGCCGAATGAGAACCAAAAGAGAACCAAATGGGAACCAAACCGGGACAGAATGAGAACCGAATCGGAACCGAATGAGAACCGAATTGGAGCCGAATGAGAACCGAATTGGAGCCGAATGAGAACCAAAAGAGAACCAAATGGGAAACAAATGAGAACCGAACGGGAACCAAACCGGGACAGAATGAGAACCGAATCGGGACAGAATGAGAACCGAACGAGAACCAAATGAAAACCAAATGAGAACCAAATGGGAACCGAATCGAGACAGAATGAGAACCAAATCGGAACGAAATGAGAACCGAATGAGAACCGAAAGAGAACCAAATGGGAACCAAATGAGAACCGAATGAGAACCGAAAGAGAACCGAATGAGAACCGAATGAGAACCAAATGAGAAACGAATGGGAGCCAAATCGGGACAGAATGAGAACCAAATGGGAACCGAATCAGAACCAAATCGGAACGAAATGGAAACCGAACGAGAACCGAAGCGGAACCGATAGAGACGAATGAGAATCAAATGGGAACCAAATGGGAACCGAATCGGGACCAAATGGAGACCAAATGGGAACAGAAAGGAAGCCTTTTGCTTTTACTATTTTACCTATTTTACTTTGATATTTTACAAAGTACAAAGTAAAATATCAAAAAAAAAATCCTATAGAACTAAAAAAACTCGACTAATTTATGGAAATTTTTCAGATTTTCTCTTGGATCACTTTTTTGCTTTACTTAGCCGAATTCGTCGTGACTCTCGTGTGGAAATAGTTAGCGGAAAAAAAGCAAAAACGATCTCGAAAATTGTAAACAAAATTGTAAACTTTGTAAACAATGATAAAATTCTTGAGAAAAAGAAAAGATTTTCTTTATTTTGCACACAAAAAAATGATGAAAAACAATGAAAAACAATGAAAAACAATGAAAAACAATACCTTACACATATTAAAACAATTAAACAAACGGGGGTGGGACAAATGCGACCTTTTTTTGCTGGAAAAGGCCTTAGGAAAGGCCGTAGAGCTTCGAAAATATTTCGAAAATTTTTCCCTATTAGGGAATCGTATGCGTAGATTCCGAATTTCGACAAATCGGACCTCGCTGACACGTCAAATTTGGGCTAAAAGGCAAAAACTACGCAACTTAACGCTTTTCCGCAGTTTTTGCCTTTTAGCCCAAATTTGACGTGTCAGCGAGGTCCGATTTGTCGAAATTCGGAATCTACGCATACGATTCCCTTATATGGAAAAATTTTCGAAGCTCTACGGCCTTTCCTAAGGCCTTTTCCAGGAAAAAAAAGGTGCGCAAATGTCCAGGTGCGCAAAAAAAAGGTCGCATTTGTCCCACCCCCAAACAAACAAATTTCCATGTTTTTTTTCCGAATTTCCAAGGTTTAAACTCGTAAATTTGGCAAGAGACCAGCTCAGGAAAATGTCGAAAAATCGAAAAATCGAAAATTTCTCGAAAAATATTCGAAATTTGAAGATTTAAATTTAAAATAACAAGAATTCAAGTAAATTGTGTAAATGTAATGTAAATTTACATAAAAGTTAAGTAAAATTGTTGAGATTTAAGGGGTTTTTTCAAATTTTCAAAGTTTAAAGGGTTTTTCAAAAGAAAAACCCTGTGGAAGATGAGGAATTGATAAAGATAAATAGATAAATTTCTAGATAATACTATTTTACAATGAAAATTCTCGAATTCGTATTGCTAGTCCATTAAGATCTCGCAATCCGACTCGTCACCTTCATCGCCGTCATCCGATTCATCCGAGTTTTCCTCGGCTTCAGCTGAGAAAGCGGAGCGTTTCTCGTCTTCTTCGGCACTGGCGACGAGATTTCTGAAAGTTTTCTGAGAGTTTTCTGAGAGTTTACGATCCATCTAATTACTCGTTTACGATCGATAAGCTGACACTGGCGACGAGCTCAGGTTAGGCTTAGGCTTAGGCTTATGCTTAGGCTTAGGCTTAGGCTTAGGCTTATGCTTGGGCTTAGGCTTAGGCTTAGGCTTAGGCTTATGCTTGGGCTTAGGCTTAGGCCTAGGCTTAGGCTTAGGCTAGGCTTAGGCTTAGGCTCAGGCTAGGCTTAGGCTTAGGCTTAGGCTCAGGCTAGGCTTAGGCCTAGGCTTAGACTCAGGCTAGGCTTAGGCTTAGGCTTAGGCTTAGGCTCAGGCTAGGCTTATGCTTAGGCTTATGCTTAGGCTTGGGCTTAGGCTTAGGCTTAGGCTTATGCTTGGGCTTGGGCTTAGGCTTAGGCTTAGGCTTATGCTTGGGCTTAGGCTTAGGCTTAGGCTTAGGCTCAGGCTAGGCTTAGGCTTAGGCTTAGGCCTAGGCTTAGGCACAGGCTAGGCTTAGGCTTATGCTTGGGCTTAGGCCTAGGCTTAGGCTCAGGCTAGGCTTAGGCTTAGGCTTATGCTTAGGCTTAGGCCTAGGCTTAGGCTCAGGCTAGGCTTAGGCTTAGGCTTATCGATCTTAAACTAAATCGTCTTCTTCGGAACTGGCGACGAGATTTCTGAGAGTTTTCTGAGAGTTTACGATCCATCTAATTGCTCGAACTTTTAGAACTTTTAGAGAAAAGTAAACGTTAAAAAATATTTTTTTATCGTAGGAATAGATTTGAAAAAACTCTACTGCTAACATTTGTTTTCCTGTATCGGATTGGTAACGCAAAGAACTGAAAAATTTATCGCAAACACAACTATTAGTTCCCCGATTTTTCTTAAACTAACTCCATATTTATTAACAAAGAAATGAACAACAATCTCATGGAAATTACCTTTCTTTCTCGTTTTCCTGTCTCTCTTGTTTGAACGATCTTTGCGGTGAAATTGAACTAAAAAAGTGACTTGTGGTTTCAACTGGTTTCAACTGGTTTTAACTGGTTTCAACTGGTTTCAACTGGTTTCAATTGGTTTTAACTGGTTTTAACGGGTTTTAACTGGTTCCAACTGGTTCCAACTGGTTCCAACTGGTTCTAACTGGTTCAAATTCAAATGGTTTTAACTGGTTTTAACTGGTTTTAACTGGTTCCAACTGGTTCCAACTGGTTCTAACTGGTTCAAATTCAAATGGTTTCAACTGGTTTTAACTGGTTTCAACTTCCAATGCTTTCAACTTCAAATGCTTTCAACTTCAAATGCTTTCAAATTCAAATGCTTTCAACCTACCTGCCAGCTTTGTTATTGATTTCGGAAGTTGATGGCTGTTGTTTCTGTTGTTGGAAACTCTTGACAGTTTGCGGCGCTTGATTCGTTTTCGCGAGCCCGGCCATCATTTGATCAAAAGACAGAGACGGGGTGCTCATTGGTGTTGGAGGGGCGGCACCGAATGGGAATCTGAAATGAGTGAATCTGGAATGAATTTTATTCTAAATGAACTCATGATTACTGTAAAAACTGTAGCATTGTTGATTAGGATTCTAATGGCAAAGAGATCCTGATGTTATAGTTGAAAGCGTACCCGACTCCAGCCATTGGTTGTTGTGGGGTGAGCGGTGTAGGGAAAAGCAACTGAGCATAGTAACGACTCGCATCCGCACATCCGGCTGCATAACCGGCAGCTCCATATTGATTGAGAAGTGTGGGCACTGGATCTGAACTTGAAAAGTTATATATTTGCTAATAAAATTGCTTTTAAGATAGAGTATCTTCAGCAATAATTATGTCTTATATAAAAGGAATAAAGTTTTAAATCTTTACAAACAAATGAATCTAATGCAAAATGTTCGTAAATTTTAAATATCTAAAGAAAAAAGATTGGAAACTCTTTTGATTTTTGAGAAAATCATTCTTTTGGTAAAGCGCAACAATATACAGGGTGACCAAGAATTACCGCAACAACTTTTTGGAAGAGTATCTGGGAAATGTCTAATTTATTTCAAAAGTGGCAAGTGTTATACAGAGGATTGTAGGCCTAATTCTCGGCAACATTTATCTACCAAAAGCATCCCGATTGGACTTGTACAACTCATTTAACAAGCGCTTGAATGAGCGCTAGTCGACACCTCTCCAGCGAATCTGTCATTTGGCCACTTTTCTTTATTAAAAATTGTTAAGAAAAGCTTTTCAATATTTCTTCAATGCAAAAATAGCGTTTAATATCACTTAATAACATTAGGAATCACACTTAAATGTTTTGGACTGGACTGGCATAACCAAATGTCAAGTTGATGTCAAGCTCCTTTTGGAGGAGCAGGGAAAATTGAGTATTTTCGATATTCAGTTCATATGCGTATCTCGTTATAGCAGCTGTTCTGGCGCTATGAATTTGTTGAAAACAATTTTTTTTTGAACAAAATTACCACAAATTTGACTAAGAAAAACTTTTCCGAATGAAGCTTTTTCATGTAGAAAAGTGGCCAAATGAAATGATTCGCCGGAGAGATTTGAAATGATTCCATCCATCGCCAAATGACAGATTCCATGTCGACTAGCGCTCATTCAAGCGCTTGTTAAATGAGTTTTATAAGGCCAATCGAGATGTTTTTGGTAGATGTTGTTGCTGAGAATGTTGCCGAGAATTAGGCCTACAATTCTCCGTATAACACTTGCCACTTTTGAAATAAATTAGACATTTCCCAGATACTTGTCCAAAAAGTTGTTGCGGTAATTCTTGGTCACTCTGTAGA